TTCATGAAAAGAACAAGTTTATGGGATATTATAATATCATAAAGAACTACCAAAAAGGTCTTGCACTATCTTGAACACCCCAGATATAACCAAATTTACTTGGAAGTATTGCTTAAGAGCTCCAAGATCCATATTAAACTGCTGTGCTTCAGCCTTCTTGACATAGTATAGCAGATCCTCAATTCCAAATGGATGGTCTCCTTCCTCTTTTCTCTGATACCACATAAGATAGAACACAATCAGCCATGAAACAAATCAAACCAGTAGGAACTAAAAAGATATCTAACCTTCAAATCTTTCAACATGGAAAGCTCCATGGTAGCTGCGCCAGTCAAACCATTGGAGATGTCCTCTAAGAACTCAAAAACCTGAATAGTCACCCTCATAAATATGAGCTACAAGAAATGATTGCAAGCAATGGACATAAATGTTGAAGATGGTTCCCATAAAGAGCAAATGGAAATAAATATTGAAAATTAGACGGTTTAATCTCTTATCCATCAGGCCATAAAAAAGGCAGCATCTCTCATCCATCAGGCAATAAAACTTTCATTGTTATCACAGTACCTCAAAAATACCACCTAAATTGACATGGAATAGAAAAAATAGTTGAACGATGAATATCTTAAGAAAAATGTACTGTCATACAAACCTTTGAGGGTGCCTTTGCCATTCTAAGATTAACTGCATAATCTGCATAACTTGAATAGCCAAGTAACCGAGCAAATTTATGGCGCAGTTGGACCTAAACAAACAAAATATCAGACACAATTTTCATCATCATAATTAACAACATAACAATAGTGAGATATGTAAGGAGACAAGAAAAGCAACGCCACTTAGAAAGTTAACCCCAATACATTGATTATTTATGGAGAGAAGAAGACTAATAACAGCTTTAGTTTTTATAATTTAATAAAAACCATGCATGTCACCTATGCTATTCCTATAAATACTTCGAAAAATATATCATTTTTTATTGGGCTAAAGAGAATTATCTGTTGACCAAGAAAATTGGACTTCTAAAAAGCCTTTTGGACATAGATAATTTGGAGTTAGACAAATGGCTAACTGATAAATAATTTTTTTCTGGATCTACATGACTAAAATTGATTTGAAGATGGACTATCTAATTGGAAGTAAAATAATCAGAAGTAGAATATAAATTGCTTTACCAAATCTTCTAAGATAGAAAGATTGACTTCTCCACCCCTCTTTCCATATGCCACTGCTACCATACTCCTTGTTGTTCCAACCTTCACAAAGGCTCAAAATGAATTTGTCAATGACATTAATAAAGATTATGAAGTTATCAAATTACTTAACAAACTTAATGACAATGTTGATAAAATTGTCACTAGCGTTTGGGGCAAAAATTGCAGAAATACAAGATTGCCTTCAGTATGAACTTAACAGATCATACCTCGCAAAGTTCAAGTACTGCTGCCACATGATGACTTTTCAGGGTCACCTTGAATTTACCATCTGCAACTTTGCCTAAGCTCTGCACATGGAAAATGTTTATTTTCTAAATGAAACACAGTTCAGTGATCTATTAACAGACAATGTACATGGTAACACGCTTATTCACATTTTATTTACAATGTCTATTCTGTATTTATGTGAATAAATAATAAAAATAGTTACCCAGAAGATAACTAAGATAGTAAAAATAGTTACGCAGAAGATAACTAAGTTTACACAAGATGTTTGGCAATAAATGATGAGTCAGTCAAGGATATGGAAAGAGATTTAACCGTTGAGTCTGTCAAGGTAAGTAAACTTTCATACAGTGGCTTCCATGAAGGTAAGCTTGCACAAAAAAAAAACGAGGGATAAATTACTACACCTTAAGAAACTCTGGCGGTAACCCAGCCAACTCAGCCTCAGTGAAGAGAAGGAAAGTACTGTCATCATTTAAATTTTGAATATACCGCAAACTTAGCTCATTGATTTGGACTCTCAAGCGTTGCATTTCCTCTGTCTTAGTTAAAGTAAGATTCAACCCATTGCGTTCAAAGTCTCTCATCTGTCACTGATTGGAAAGGAATCAACATCCAGCATTTTCTTTTTCATATGATGAAGAAAGCCTCAAGCAACAGTATCGAGACAACATATTACTTTAAAGTAAATATAATAGATGGAGAAAGAAAAAAATCCACAAAGTAAAATAAAATAAACCTACAAAAATGTTCTTACTCCTTACCAAGGCCTGAGTATAGTACTTTGCTTCAGCATTCACCCACTCCCCTCCTGCAGCAAAAGCTTTGACGACGCGGTATACATCTTCACGCTTGCTTTTCAGTTTGCAAAATACAGAAAGATGTATTATTTAATTTCCATAAGTCTTCTAAATAACTTTCTAGCTCAGTTCAATGTCATTGCACATTAGATATATGTTATAGCCGCACAAAATACTCTATAAAAGTTCAAGATACCTTCAGAATTAGGGATCATCATCCACCAGTAATGAACTATACCTGCAAGTCAGAACATGGGCATCAATTCTCCGCTCTGCTTCGGCACTTGCTTTGTGAACATCATCGGAAGTGGAAGCCATCTTAGGAAACACACAAGACTGGACAAGTGGAAATTGTTGCGCCTCTAACTCTGCTAGAGGCAAAATAACGTTCATATATGTAACCTGTGAAATAAAACCATTTATAAAATTAGCTCAAATTCATCAAACAAAAAACAAAGCAGTTTAAAATTTAAATAGTCACGCAAATTATGTTCGTTCAATGGAATCATCATGGTTACAAACGATAGTATTCCCTAATCTAATTTGAGAAATGTAGAGCCTTCCAAGCCAGATTAACGGCACAAATTCAAATGCAAAAGCCACTGAACTGGATTTTCATACTAAACTGTGTGAATTGTGGCAATTGCCTATAACCGTATCGAGTGGAACTGAAGCAACTGGCACCAAAATCAACTCAAATTCATAAAATTGAAATTAAATAATAAAACCAGCTTAAATACACATTCTTTTTACAAACTATACTATCTTCGAAATCGAGAATCAGAAATGTAACACTTAAAGGGATTTTGCAAACCATATTTTAAGTCGCAGATATTGAAATGCAAAGCTACTAAGTTCATGCTAAACTGTGTGAATTGCTTACAACCTTGTCGAGTGGAACCGAAGCAACCGCATCGTGGACCTCTTTCGACTTTGAAATGATTCGGTCCGCCAATTTCAAAATTTCGGACGCCGATAGATTAGCCCGAACCTTAGAGCCCTGAAGATCTGCAACTCATTAACGCACAGAGAGAGAGAGACAGAGAGAGAGAGAAGAGTGAAAGGACTGTTTGGTTGACGGAAAACAAAAAGCACAATAGCAGAAACGGGCGAATAAGACTGTTTGGTTGCCAAGAAAGTGAAAAGAAAAGCAAATGAGTAAAGAAGAAGAAGACAAACATTTCTTCTTTCTGTTCTTAGTGTGAGCATTGAAGGCGGTGATTCCAAGGGTAGCGGCGAGGGTGAGCAGAGCAGCGGCGCCGCCGAAGGCCAGTAGGCTGCTACGTTCCCGCTTCTGTTTGGGCATTTTCTCGCCGTTTCCTGGAGTTTCTTCCATTTGTTTCTGTGAGAGGTGTAAAGGCGGAAAAGGGAGGGAGGCAAAGGCAATTGACCCAATTTTATGAGCCGGGAGGTAAACTGCATTTATTGGATTGAAATATTTTAAAATTATTGGGAGGGCTATCTTATCAGATGGCGCAATCGGACTCGTGGCATTCTCTATCTTAGAGCTGGTTTATTGTTGCTGTGCTTTGAAAAAATTACTTCTGCTGTGCTGTGAGAATAAACAGCTGTAAAATAAAGCAGTAGAGTGTTTGGTAAACTTTTTTGTAAAAGTGCTTTTGAAAAGAAAAAAAAAGCAGTATTATAGTATTTGGTAAACTTTTATGTAAATCAGATGTGAAAAAAAATCGGTTTTTCAAAGCTGAATTTTGCAGCTTCTTGTGCTTGGCTTTTTTTCACCAAAAACTATGAAAAAAAGCTGAAGCTGAATGTTTACCAAACACAAAAACAGCTCCCAGCTTTTTTTTATACCAACTTTTTTCAGAATCACCTCAGTACCAAACCAAGCCTTAGTTTTTGTAAAAAAGATGTGATATCTACACACCTTATTTTACTTCTCACACACCTTTTTAATTTTCGATCATCGGATCGGATGAATTGAAGAAAATCAACGGACAAAAATTAACAAGAATGTGTGAGAAGTAATTTAGGATGTGTGAATAACACATCCCTTTGTAAAAATGACATTCGACACTTGTTAAAGTGAAAAGATCTTAGTGCAAAGGTAGCTAGCAATTCTCTAATTTTTATTGTATATACACATTTTTTTTTGTCAAACTAAATTTCTTCATTAATTTAAAAAGCTAGCACAAGATATACACACCCCGAGATTTGAAGGATTGTTGCCTCCACCACAACAGTTGTGTCGCCCTCACAAATTTGCCACCACCACGTAGAAGAAGAACCCACGAACAAACTGAATGAACTACAAACGGGAGTGAGCGAGTCCACCCGTGCAAAAAGTGCTTTCATAATCCTAAAAATAGTGCTAATAACACTTTAACACCTACTCAACGTCAAAACGCCTGTCAAGAAGAAGCACCCAATGGCTCGAGTAGCTAAGGTTGGTGGTTGAAGATTGACCACGAGAAGCAACATCTGAGCAAAAGAGGGGCATAAAAGCGCAAATCTGAGACATTTTGCATGTACACATTATGGCTGACAAAGAAGACGATTTCAGAGGAAAAATTGCGATATGTGGTGTATGCTTGGGAATTTGCATTGTTACCACATAAATAGCATACGAAATGTCCTACCAAAATTGGACCTTGAAGTCGAAGGTCACAACGAACTCCCTTCCACGGACCTGTAATTTTTGCAGTCATTCTAAAAATTGGACCTTGAAGCCCAAAACAACTGGATTAATATACCCGACCCGGTTGGGACCTGAAATGAAAGGAGTAGTCAAGCCGATACCTCCGTAGCATTTTTCTCTCTCTCTTCTGTTTGGCAAGCGAGAAAATCCAATGCCTCCGAAAGGCAAAGACAGGCAGCGCGCCGCCGCGTCGACGCAGCAGCCGCCTCCCTCCCTCGAAGAACTATTCGGCTCTCTCAACAAGCACATAGAGGAATCCGAATTCGAAAAAGCCGTCAAGGTTGCAGATCAAGGTTATATCTCCAGGATTTAATCTCGTTTTTCCTCTGAATTTCTCAGTTTAAATTCCTCATTACGTTGCGTGATTTTGATTTTTTGGTAACGTATCGCAGTTCTCTCGATTAACCGTGGCGATGAGGACGCCCTTCGATGCAAGGTCGTGGCCTTGATCAAGGCCGACGACATTGACACCGCCCTTTCCACGATTCGATCTTCCAAGAGTCCTCCTTCGGATTTCAGCTTCTTCGAGGTTCGTAACTTCGATTATATTTTAGCAATCAGCTGTAAATTTTGGTTATTTTCTGACTTGTTTCTTATTATATTTGTTTCCGGCATTGTTATTTGTAATTAGTGATTGATTTGGAAAACTCAGTAGCATAATTACGTTGGCATTTCTTCCGATTCGATGCAAACTCGAAATTACGGTTGTTAGCTTGTAAATTTTCAGGGATGAAGTTATGAATGTGTCTGATATTTGTTAGATGAGGTCTGGTTCACATTTCATACAAGTTAATGTGTTGTTACATAATAATTACTTGCGATGGACCTACATCCGTAGTAAGTATAGAAGTCTAACTGCACGAAATTTAGAATTAGAAAATGTGGCTGGTTAGCGTTGTTAGGTTGAGTGGAATAAACACAGAAGCTCTGGTCAAATTAGCTTTTATGTTCGTACCATTTATGATATTTGGCCATTATTTTTGCACATTACTTGCATGTCTCCTCTCACACTCGAGATTTCGTTATTTTGATTTGAACAATGTATCCAGAGGTAGTCCATTGTCATTTTCATCTGATGGTTATGGTTGTATGTTTAGTTGTGCAAAATGTTATAAAGACACGCGTGAATATCTCTCATTGATGCTCTTTTCTACTTGCTCTATTCCTAAATAGGCATACTGCTTATACAGAAATAACAAGCTAGATGAAGCTCTTGAGTTGTTGAAGAGGCAAGAGAGAAATTCTGCAACCATGATCTTAGAATCCCAGATTTTGTTTCGCTCCGGAAAGATGGATGCTTGTATTGATACATATCAGAACCTTCCAAAACCCAAGGTCGAATCCTTAGAGATAAATTCTGCAGCTAGTTTGGTTGCAGCTGGGAGGGCTTCTGCAGTTAAGCGTACATTGGAAGCTCTAGGGGTTAAAGCAACTAACAGTTTTGAGCTTGCATTCAACACTGCCTGTTCTTTGATTGAATTGGAGAAGTATACAGAGGCAGAACAGCTCCTTCTGAAAGCCAGAAGGTAAATGCTACTTATTTGTTGACTTTGACAACACCCAATCAAGTCATATTTTTAGGCAGTAAATGCTTTTTATTGTGTTTATTATTACTATTTCTCAGTTTTTAATTTGTACCACGACACTGTAAATTTCGTTTGGACTGATTTTAGAATATCTTTTGAAGAAATTTTGAGCCTAAGTATCACAGACTAAGAAAAGTAAGGCATGCAAACTTATCAACTCAACTCAACTAGGCCTTGCCACTGCTTAAGGTTTTTTGTGTAGATCTGGTTTTCCTCTCATTAATCCCCGGATAAAGTCATGTATATGTTAAAATGTTAATTATTTCCTCCCTCATTAATTGTTTTTGTATTTAGTTTGACGTTTCCCTTTAGTATTGGTCTTAAAACCACCATTCACTTTACTATTAAACAGCCTTTGATTGTGTTTATACATCTCACAAATTTATCTATAGAAACTCTTTAGTAAAAGTGAGAATGAACTGATGGACGTAATTCACTTGGTTTCTTAGAATTGGCCAGGAAGCACTGTTCTCTGATAACGTACCTGAAGACGAAATACAAATTGAATTGGCGCCAATAGCTGTCCAGTTGGCTTATGTACAGCAGGTAATATTGGTAACATTAAGCAAAAATTCTCTTATCAATATTTTGGGAAGTTAAAAATCCAATAGCCACTGATGAAAATTAGCTTCTTTCAACAGCTCCTTGGCAGAAACAAGAGGCTGTCGAAGCTTATACGGACATTATTAAACAAGATATGGCAGATGAGGTATCACTCAGTGTGGCTGTCAACAACCTCATTGCTTTGAGAGGTCCAAGAGATGTTTCTGATGGCCTAAAGAAACTTGATCGACTAAAAGATAGGGAGAAACAAAACTTCCACCTGGCTCCTGGACTAGAAAACAAGCTTTCACCAAAACAAAAAGAATCAATATATGTGAACCGGGTCCTTCTACTACTCCATGCGAATAAAATGGATCAGGTCTTTCTCTTTGCTTTTATGTCTTTTCGAGTACTAAGGCTGTGAACATGTTAATTATGAATATATTACATAAGTAAGCCTTTATTGGTGCTTCAGCTCCCCTTGCTGATCTCAACTCTTTGCTTCAAATTTACAGGCTCGAGAACTTGTTGCTGCACTGCCAGACATGTTTCCTGATAGTGTGATGCCCGTGTTACTCCAAGCTGCAGTTTTTGTCAGAGAAAACAGGGCTGGGAAAGCCGAAGAAATTTTAGGGCAGTTTTCCGAGAAGTTCCCTGACAAATCCAAGGTGGTTCTCTTAGCGAGGGCACAGGTTGCTGCTGCTGCTGGTCATCCTCTTATAGCAGCTGAGTCCCTTGCTAAGATACCTGATATCCAGCATACGCCTGCCACTGTCGCTACTCTTGTGTCTCTTAGAGAGCGTGGCGGGGACATTGATGGTGCAGCTGCTGTGCTTGATGCTGCAATCAACTGGTGGTCAAATGCCATGACCGAGGACAATAAGCTCAGTGTTTTAATGCAAGAGGCTGCTTCCTTCAAGCTCAGGCATGGCCGAGAAGAGGAGGCTGCCCATCTATACGAGGAGCTTGTGAAAAGCCATGGAAGTGTGGAAGCATTGGTTGGGCTTGTAACTACAGTTGCTTGTGTGGATGTTAAGAAGGCAGAAGCTTATGAGCAGAAGCTGAAACCATTACCAGGACTGAAGGGGGTCAATGTGGATAGTCTGGAGAAGACTTCTGGGGCCAAACACGATGAGGGTGTTTCTCATGTTAAGGTCACGGAGACCTATGACGAGGGGAAGAGTAAGGCTAAGGCTAAAAGAAAGAGAAAGAGAAAGCCAAAGTATCCTAAGGGGTTTGACCCTGCAAACCCAGGTCCACCACCAGATCCGGAGAGGTGGCTTCCCAAGAGAGAAAGGTCAAGTTACAGGCCTAAGAGAAAGGATAAGAGAGCCGCTCAGGTAAGAGGCTCCCAGGGTTCCGTAGCTAGAGATAAACATGAAACTGGTGCCGCTTCCAACACTTCAAACACAAAATCAAACCAAGCAGCTACCTCCAAAGGAGCACCTCAAAATGCAGTCGCAGAGCCATCCAAGCCTTCTTCATCGAAGTCACGAAAAAAGTCTAGGAACTAGTTGAAGGATCCAATTTTCCGGGTTGATTTTTGTGACAGGTTGCAGAATTTTAGACAATTTAATTTGGTGCCCTAGTGACTAGACAGAGATTTTGTAGTTAAATTATCGGCCTTTTTTCTGCTTGCTTCTGATTCAAGACGACAAAAAAAATGATGAATTCCTTAAGAAATTCGGTTCAGAACTCTATATTTATGTCTTGTGAATTTCAGCTTTGATATTGATGTTTAACTCATTATTCGAATTTCAGCTTTGATATTGATGTTTAACTCTGGTGAGTTTTCGTGCTGAACTCTAGCGTCCCCAGCTAATGATATAAAACCATTTGTTTTTAGGGTGTTTTAACGAAAAGTTCACTGTTTACTTTAACGAAAAAACACATTTTTACACTAAAAAGTCAAACCTGTTACTATTTCTTTTACCCTTATTTTGTTCTTATCATTAAAACTCAAGCTTTCAAGCTCTTTTCATTAATTTTCCTTTATTTTTAACTTTTTGACCTAATGGCACGTGATAAGTTTGACATTTTGCCATCCCCTTTTATGTAAGTCTCTCTATCTCTGTCCCGGGATTATAGTATGCCAATGTTGCATGCCGCGTGAGCGTACCAGAAAACTCAGGCATTTTTTGTTGCTTAAGCGGAGAACTGATTTGTTTATTGGCGTGAAATGTGGAGAATGTGGAGATGCTTGCCAAAGGAGCATCTTCGACAACTCCAAGTTATCAAGAATTCTTGGCCCTTGACATTGGCCATCCTCCCGTCTCTCTCCTCAACGTACAAGAAATAAACTTATTTATATATACATATATTTCCTATTGTTTTTATTCATTATTTTGTTTTAAGCCTTTTTTTTTTTTTTTTTTAAATATTGGCTAAAACCTTCTATAATATGTTCATCTAAGTAGTTATTTGTTGAGGTTATTTGCATTTTTCTTAAATTTGTGTTAAGTTTATCGACGAATCGTCAACGACCATATGAACATTTTTAAAATCGGAGTATTGACTTATCAACGATACTAGTTATAATTTATATCAACAACGTATTAGTGATATATCGGTAATTTGCAAAAGTGCAATTAACTATTTCACACTGCACATCTTGGATTCGATTTTTAGCGTTGGTGAATCACATAATGGTGACTAGGGGAGGCTGAAATGCCTCTGTGAGTCTTCCCGGCCTCCGAAAGGATGGATTGCCACGGTGAAGCCACCAGCTGATCCTCTTTTTAGGGGAAAAATGCAATTAAATTAGATCATATGCAATGTTTGTTACAAACATTTTGATATGGCTATCTTTATTGCTATTCACCTTCATTATACAACAATCTAAATTTTTATATTTTTTATTTAATTTTTACTCAAGGCTTGGACCATTTCAAAGTTATTAATTAATTAATTTTTTTTTTGTGTCAAATAAAATATTAACAAAACAAATAAATACATCCACAACCAACAACCAACCAATAAACAAAGAAACAAAACAAATAAATCAATCAATTCACCTAAATAGCCAAATATGTGAATAAATAAATCAAAAGACAAATGGGATAAATAAAAATTCTCTTAACTTGTGAAAGGGATTAGGACCAAAATGAAAAGAATAGAACTTTCCCAATGGGTTTTTGAACTTTTGACAAAAGATTAAATAAAAAGACTTGCGAAAGGGGCTGGATTCGGATTATCCTGATGGATAATGCCGAAGCCATCAAGGAGAAAATTTTATTGTCCGACACTTAGTACACCATGTGTTATCATATAAATGATAAGATGCTTTATTTTATAAGTTATTAGTATTTTAACGAAATTATTTGACCGTTTTTAATTTTAATCGTGTGTACGGTACAATGAAAAATCTCTTGTTAACTAGGCTCTAAAAATGGGCCCGTGGGTGACACGTCGCCAACTTGACCGTTTGGACGCAAAACCCCAAAACTCTACCAACACGCGCTCCCAAACACAACCTATCTTCCCTCCAACTTGCGCTTACCGACGAAACCCGTAAACCCCCTTCTTCAATGACTAATTTACCCTCCACCTGATCAACAAAATCAAACGGGCACAAATGGAAACCCAAATCTAAATCCAAATCTAAATCCCACTAGACGAAAAGAAAAGAAAAATAAAACATTACGAAAATGGTAATTATCAGGTAATGTTCTTATTTATTGTCCATTAATTTTCCGATCTCATGTCTCTACGACAAATTATATGCAAAGACTTTACAATTTTTTATTATATTATTAGTGTCCCCCGTACCCATTTCAACATAAGAAAGCTATGGTTAAACAATCTTAATTTAATCACAGCAAGTAGTTCAATGAAAAAATGCGAACAACAATTCTCTACAGGAAAAAACGGAAGGTCCCGAGTTCAATATTTTTTAAGCTGTGAATTCTCAATTAGCCTTCTCCGAACCCGAAAGTAATGGATAACAATGGTTCGTCATCAGTTGTCTTCTCTTAAAATAAAAATCCTAGTTTAAAATTCATAATTCCAAAAGTTTTTTTTTTTTTTTTTTTTTTTTGCCAAAATGAAGACCCAATTGGCAAAAAAAACCTAAAACACAGTGCAAAATGTTATGATCAAAGAAAAACATTATTTATTATTCAAAAGTGAGATTAATTATTATTTTAATTGTTTTAATTTGGAGGGCGAGAGAGTTCAAAGAGAGCGAGAGATGGGGGCGGGGGAGAAAGGGAGCGGCTGTTGGGAATCAGAGCGAAAAAAGGATTCCTTCTCCCGCCACATCCTAGTATCCTACTGCGAAGAAGCGGTAAACCCTTCTAACAACCGACACGTGTCCTTCTCCCCAACCCCACTCCTAAATTGGACAATTCACCCTGACTTTCTCTCTCTTCCCACAATATTTTCTCCCCCCCCCCTTTTTTTATTTATTATTTCTACACTTTTATTCAATTTTCTTGGCGTTTCTCCTTCTCTCTCTTCTCCCTGAACTCGATCGACAAGCGCTCGTCCTCTGTTCGGATCGAATTCCCACCTCAGGAAAAGAGCAGAATGTTCTGAAAACCCTAGAATTTCAATCGAATCGAGCAGAAAGTTAATATCTTTTTCTCCTTCTTCTTTTTCTTCCGCGAGGGTTCGGTACCAGGAGGCGGCTTCGCTTTGTCGATTGTGTTTGTCTGAGCAAAAATTAGGGTTGGTGGTAATTGTTTCGATTCGTTTCTCGTTTATTTCATTTGGTTATCCCTTGAGTTATCAGTTTCCCTTTTCAAGTCTATCGAAATTTTGTTTCTTTGATCCGTTCTGTGTTGGGTATCTGTTTTTGCCTCGTTTGGTATAAACCCTAGGTTAGTCGAATAAAAAATCCCCCCAAAAAAGTTAAATTCTTTGATTCTTATCCCTGTAGATAAATTGGTTGCGGCATCGTTTTTTCGGTTTCCATTTCAGCTGATTTTAGGTTATTTGCAAGAAATTCTGTGAAATTTTTGGGCGTCGTTTTAGTCTGCCATCAGAAATTGAGGGTTTCCTTGTTAGATCTTCCTTCCCCTTGTTACATATACATATATATATATATATATATTTTTTTTTTCCCACACCTCTTTGATAAAACGAAAAAAAAAGAAGAGAGAAAAAGGGTTCAAGAAATCTAGGGTTTGCCGTTTGTGTATAGACTTATGTAGAGAGAAGTCTGGTTGGGGTGTGTATTCAATGGCCTTGAATTTTTCTCACCGACCAATCTTTCCGGGGCATCTGTCTGAGGACAATTTGGTTTCTCCAATGAGGATTGCCAATGGGTACCTCGTGGAGGGTATGCCAGAGAGGAATGGAGATGGTTTCGGTAGGCCGTGGCATTCAAATCGAGAAGTGGATGGTTGCTTTGATTATGGAAGAGATAGATGTGATAGGGGTTTCTCACAGGATCCCGTTTCGAATGACATTCTTGATCTATTGCCTTCGGACCCTTTTGGCATGGATATAAGTACCACGTTTACGGCTATCACAGGCTGGCTTGAGGATTTGGAAGTGGACTACAGTGGTTACAGAGGGATGAGGTGGGGACAAGTAACGGTAATTATGAACTTTTTGCGGGGTTGAATTTTATCTGGAATAATGCTATGAAGTTCCAGGCATTCCCAGGGAATATTGGGGTCGATCACAAGTCTAATGTAGCCAGTGGATTCGGTGGGTGCTCAAAAGAGAAGGGAGTTGATGATTCGCCCTTACACAGCGGTTTTGGATCAGCATGTCCAGTCTTTGACGTTTTGAATTTTGGCAATGAAAGTTGTGGTTTTTCCAATCAGCAAAATGTAGAGGTCCAGCATGGCGATGGGATTTGTGGTGGCGGTGATGGAGGAGCTCCTCATGGGGCTTTGATGTTTGCCCTTAGTTATCTTGGGGTGCAGGATCTTCTTGTTGTAGACGGTGTTTGCAGATCTCTCCATTCTACAGTTCGCGGTGACCCCCTTTTGTGGAGAAATATTCACATAGATCAGCCACTGAACGAGAAGATTACCGATGATGTTCTTTTGCAATTAACTGATAGGGCTCAAGGAAATCTGCAGAGCTTGAGCCTGGTGGAGTGCCCAAGGATCACTGATGATGGTCTGAAGCGTGTGCTTGAAAGTAATCCCAGGCTAGCCAAGGTTAGTTTTTGGCTTCTGGATTTTACCTTAACTGTTTGCAGCGTTTTTTTCTTAGAATTCTTTTATTATTGTCTCTTTACAAGAAGTTCTGCACGACCATTCATGGTTATTAATTGTTTACCTTAAATTTCGTAGACTTGTGCTCAAAGTTAACTCTAGTGAAGAAAAATTTGATTCATGTTCCATTTATTTGTGCAGTTGAGCGTGCCTGGATGTACTAGACTCAGTATTGAGGGCATTGTAAATAGCTTAAAGGTGTTCAATTCCAAGGGTGCACAAGGTGTGAAGCATTTACGAATTGGTGGACTCTATGGTGTGACACAGAAGCATTTTGAAGAGTTGAAGTTCTTGTTGGGAACTGATGGGCAGATGCAGCCTAATACACGCAAGCCACATTTTTATCAAAGAGGGAACTTTTATCTGGCCTCTGATGATGATAGTGACATTGATATTGAAATGTGCCCTCGATGCCAGAACCTGAGGCTTGTCTATGATTGCCCTGCTGAGGCTTGTCAAGGGAAAGAACATCCAACTCAGGTATGCAGGGCCTGCACACTTTGCATAGGGAGGTGTATTGAGTGTGGTCGGTGCATTAATGATAGTGAATATGAGGAAACGTTTTGTTTGGAGTTGCTTTGCTCAGATTGTTGGAAGCAGCTACTAAAGTCTCAAGAGACACAGGATGGAACCTACGGTCCCTCCAAACCTTCTGTTCTCCATGAACGGAATGATACTTCTTAGTCGACATGGCTAGGTTCTGTTGGTTCTGTAAATCTGCTGGTTTCATATTAATGGATGAGAAAATTACAAGTGGTTCCTAAGGTATCCAATCAGTTTAAGATTATGGTCCCTTTATCTCATACCGCTTGGTCAGCTGGCTTTGTTGGATTTAGTCTATTGGTTGACTTCAGCTTTGGCAGTTTGTATCTCATCTGGGGCTCCGAGCCCACTGCTAGTACATCGTGATGAACAGAAAAAAAAATGTAAAATAAAAACAAAAAAGATGGAAATTTTAGGGGTGAAGGAGATTGTGAACAAATTTCTGCATCCACTGGAGGGCATGGAATTTTGTTCTGGTGATTCCGTTAGTTGGCTCTGGCATGGGTAATTGTTCTACAAGGAGTATGTTGATTTGCCTTGGAGTATTATGTATGAAGTCTGTTGGCATCTGACCAATATGCGAGGTAGCCTACTAGAGCGGTCAACAGTAGGGAACTACTACTTGTAGAGAGCAAAGTGGAAAGGCAACTTATTTGTTGTACATCGGCCATTGTGCTCTGTGAACTCTGTGCCTACGCATGGAAGTGGTCGTCGGTTACCTGTGAAGAGTTTGAAGCGTGAAGTACGTTGGTTCTTGCAGTCATACAAGGGAGTTACATTGTTCATTCTTCCAGTTGTGCAGCAGTTTATGTTCCGAAGTAGCACTCCCATCTGTGACCTGCTATTTGGGATGAATCCCAGAGCAGGACAGGATCTTCTACCTGGCTTTATATATTGCACTGATTTTATCTGGTGTCATCTATAGTGCCATTCCACAGATTCGTTCTTGTTCAGTCAAGAATGAAGCTACGATTGTTTCCTCCTGCCGGAAACAATGTTGTTCATAAAAGACGGGGCATGTGCATGTGCATTGTTAAAAAAAAGGCCGTGCTGGTATGTTCTTGCTTTGGAGGACGTCTTTCGTCTGTCTCAGTTAGGATCCATGGCAGCTTCACCGTATGCTCTTTGAGCAAAGAATTGCCAAATGCTGCTTCTCTGGCGTCAACCAGAGTTATCTTTCGTGTGTGCCTTGAGCACCAAGTTATCTGCTTCTTTACGGTCGAAACGAATGATGTAAAATGTACTTTCTCTCATTAAGTTATGGTTTTATGTAAAAGCGGGCAAAGCTATTGCTCGCTATGTACGCTCTTTTTCCCACTTTCCTTGGATGTATTATTCTCTTATTATCGAGATTTTCCCACTTGTTCTTTCATCCTTACATTTTTATCGTTTAGGCCACAATCCTTTCAAATGTGTATCTTTTAAGCATGTTTTGTAACAATGTATTCCCAAAGTTGGGAGCAGAAACAAGGTGCCCTAGTCAACTTACGATAAGGAGAACTTATCATTTGATTCATTTTTGGTGCGATCACATTTGCATCTTATTTTACATTTTCAATAAATATAAATGTGAGATCTATTTTGACGGGGCGTGTATAAATTTTAGATACAATTTACTTGTCTCATTATAGAGGTTCACTTATGAAAGATGTATATTTACATTGTTGGTCACATCTCATCTATTGGAGAGCTTTTCCGTCTAACAAAAATGTTAAGTGCTCAAACATGACATTTTACATCTCCAATTAGATATGATCTAGGTCAATGAAGAGTGTTATTCACGTTTTCAGTGGCTATTTGATACATGGAATTATGTCGAGAGTGAGGATAAAAATAATTTTTTCACATGATAGCATGTAATTAATACATAAAATTATGTCGAAAGTGAGGATAAAATTAATTTTCTCGCATGATAGCACGTAATTGACTTAAGATATCGTCGTAATGTTGCTATATCATGCGTAAGGATGTTTCTGTTGGCATGCGTGCATGGTCCAACTCAAAAACGTAACATTCATTATTCGCTCACATGTCTTGCGTGGGGCTAACTCAAATACTTGGTAAACTGGTCATCGCTCAAGAAACGAAGAAAGACGTGTCATTTTTGCAGCTCATTTTACTTCTTGTTCGCGACAGAGAGATGCATGTGTCATTCATTCATTTATGCCATGGACACATGATATGACAAATAATTTATGCAACAGGATGTCATTGTAATGATATTTGCATAGAAAACTTCAAAGTCAAGACAATGCGTGATTGACTGATATATTTTCACAGTAAAATTCCGATTATACGCTAGTTTCTCTTATTTTCATGACATACAATTTTAATTCAAGCAATACAAATGAAGTAAAATTGATCGTAAATTAACTGAAATTTTCATTAATTAAACCATTTATTCAACAGAAAATATGAAGACAAATGGGATTAAACTGGTTAGTGACATTATATATACTGGAAGAAGCCACATCGTTTCATTGCCCATCTTCTTTCTGAGTTTTCTTCCGGATCTTCTCCACCCACTTGAAACTCAAAACTGCCTTCCCGAAGCTCCTCTTCGATCCATCCTTGCCCTTCTTATTGTCCTTGTCGGATGATCCCGGTGGCGGCGGGTCCGGGTTGTTGTCCCATTGATCAGCCCAAGACAGACCAGAATCCATTGTCCTCTTTTTTTCCTTTTTTTTCTTTTTTTCTTTTCTCTCTCTCGCGTTCTTCTTTTTCGAGGTTAAAAACTTCTTTTAGCAACAGAGCTTTGGAATTTGTTGCAAAAGGGTTAGTTTTTATTTTATTTTAATCCAATGTTGATTTTTCCTTAATTCGATCGAAAGGAAAACTGTTTGGCAGAAGTTAGTTAAGTTTGATGAACAAGTTTAGAAATTTGTCCAACGGTCTTTTGCTTATTATGTAACTTGATTTATACCTAAACCAACTCGAGTATCCTAAATTTGGTCATGTTCGTTATTGGACTAAAATAGTTAGTAATAGACTCGTTTTCCTTTGTCGGAATTCACGTGATGCAAAAAATTATAACGAACGTAAATAACTAGTTACACACAAGATTTTGCCTTGTCTACCTACTGCAGTTGACCGAGCAGTAGGCAACTAGCAGTCAAGTCAAACTCTAAAACCTACATCCATGCCAAGCCCTGTAAATTATAACCAACCATGTCATACAGACAATGCCTGTTTTAGAGAGTGGTAAGTTTATCATCTTAGATGCACATCGTCTCCCTACATTTCGGCCGAAATGTCCCTTTTTCTCAAGTACCAAACACCGAAATTTGAGGGGAAAAACCATTTTTACTCCCAGGCCGGCGGTATTTCCATGATATCGCTGAGATTACACGATGGTTCGCACATATGCCGATGTTCCCGACAGACATAGAGGAACATTCGGGAACCGTTGGATTACAACTTCAAGCCTGGGAGGGAGGGAAAACAAAACAAGGATCAATTTCCCTCATCCTTTTACTGAACCTATCGTCTACAAAAATTCTACATGACCTGCAATTTCTCTACACAGCAGCTTAGACTCACTGGCAAGCTTCAAGCTTTTGACAATGGCAAGGCCTGTTTGCTTGTGTGTAGAAGTCGGAATGTATTGCTTGGCATCTTCTTCTTTCCCCATCAATAGAGCCTCCCTAGCCGGAACCACATTTTCCCACCAGAATTCCCTTAAAATTCCATGCATCAAGTTCCAGTAACTCCAGTCCCTGCACACGCGGAATATTGTGCTTCCGTTCGGTGTCCAGCAGTACAGATCAACCCACTCTCTGTCCAGTACCTCCATTTGGCCCTGCACCTGAGGCATGTAATAGAAAGGCATGGTTGACCAGGGCAGAGCCTTCTCTGGCTTCCCCTTGTTGTATGGACACTTCACTTCCAGTATCCCACCGCCTTGATAGCAATCAATAAGACCCTCGAGAAGACCGTCTGGGGAGGCACCAATCCAACCATATCGCTCCTCTGCATGGGTAGCAAATCCGTATGAACTCACTTCACGACCTGTGATGCTTTTGTACTTTTCAATGGCTACTTCTTCATTGAGCACGCCCCACTCCATGGCTCTCTTAGATGCTTCCACAATATGTTTCTCTGATTCAAATACCTTCTCTTGCCAGAGCTCTGGCCGGCGGGTCCCTTTCCAAAATCCCAAGGCAGTGCTGAAGGTGCTTGTGGTCAGCTTGTCCTTGCGTAGGGCAAACCATTCCTCTGATCGTTGGGGAGCATCAGACGGTGAAAGCTGGGTGGCTAGCACTAGTAATGATGGGGGACGATGAATGACAAGAGGGACAACCGGAGAGATCAGTGTTTTGGTGCATGTGGAAAAAGGTCTCAAAATATCTTTCCTAAACCCTATCTTCCTTGAGGATAGCAATTCTAATGCTTTATGGTGAGACCTGCAGAATCCGGTGCAGCAGGCATTGCTCGTTGTCGTTGCTAATCTGACAATGCCACCCATAGCTACTTTGTTTCGATGAAGGGTCCTGCAAAAGCCACACACTGCTTGAAAGTTTAGTTGAAGAAACTTCCTCAAACGATATTGGTTTACAAAATTTTAGACACAAAATTCATCAGAAAGAATGCCAAATGCGTTCTAGACACATCTAACATTACATGAATACGCAGTAATCTTCTTCATGACAAAATAAATCCAAGTGAACAAGCACATTCTATCGTTCCTCCTGTAGGGCAAGTATCAATTTTCAACCAAAGAAGGAACTGAATTTTCGAAATACCATCCTTTTCCTACAAAATGTATCATTCCATTCACAGTATTCGCAAAGCGATTCAAAAAACAAGAAAACCAGAGGACGCAGTTTACTCTAAATACAAGTACTGCTAATGAGAAAAAGATAAAAGAAAACCCAAAAAGCTCAACTTCCTCCCCCAATCTCCCAATTCAATTCAAAGTCAAAACCCACACGATTAGAAGTCCTTAATTCGAACATGAAGGGGATAAAAACATATTGCACTCAAGCTGTATGATTTAATACCTGAGAGACGGCTCGAACTAAAGGCTCCGACTTTGGGAGCTGCGGAGGAAGCGGAGCGAGGCTTGGGAGTCCGAGAGGTCACTCCGCCATGGAGAAAATACAGAGAAGCTCTGGAGTGAGCGGAAGAGACTTGAATGAGCTTCATCTGTCACTATGTTCCAGCCACCACCATTTCTAGGGTTTTGTTTTTGCCACTGCAAAATTTGATAGAGAGAAAAGGAAGAAGATTTTAGGGCGGGTAGCAGGCTAGCAGCTGATAACATTTTCCAAAAATCCAACAGGCCACGTACTTATACCAGTCTAAAAACGCCGTCGTTTTGAGTAAAACGGCTTCGAAACGTAGCGTTTAAAGTTGGGAACTTCGGTATAAAGCTCAGCAACCAGAGAGGGAAAGAGAGGAGAGAGAAAGCGCTGAACTCTCTCTTCTTTCTTCGCTAATCAAAAGACAAAAGCTTTAAATTCAAGCACTTTCTTCCTCTCACTGTAGTTTCTCTCTGTGTCTGAGCTGTGAAAACCCAAAACCCACCGACTGAAAAGAAAGAAAAAAAAACGAAACAAAAATGGGTTAGTTCTGCCGCTGGTCAAGTACTTCACTTTCTTCTTCCTTTTCCACCCAATATATCACTGAATCGAATCCACAGTCTCACTCTCTCAAACATCCTTTTCAAACTCAGACTTTCAATTTCCACACCCGCCACCATGTATTTGCCGGAAAAGGCTCGACCAATCGATTTCTACAAAGAGGAAGCCAGCCGGGACATGATGATGGAGGTGGTGGTCTCGAACGAGGACCTTCCCCAATCTCAATCCCAATCCCAAGCTCATCTTCAACAGCCGCTGCCGCAACAGATGCTTATGGGTGACAGCAGCGGTGAGGACCACGAAGTGAGGGCGCCGAAGAAGCGAGCCGAGACTTGGGTGCAGGACGAGACCCGAAGCTTAATAGCCCTCCGTCGCGGGATGGACGGCTTGTTCAACACCTCCAAGTCGAACAAGCACTTGTGGGAGCAGATTTCTGCGAAGATGAGAGAGAAAGGGTTCGATCGGTCACCGACGATGTGCACGGACAAGTGGAGGAACTTGCTGAAAGAGTTCAAGAAGGCTAAGCACCATGATAGGGGAAGTGGGTCAGCTAAGATGTCGTATTACAAGGAGATTGAGGAGATTTTGAAGGATAGAAGCAAGAATACGCAGTACAAAAGCCCCACTCCCCCAAAGGTCGATTCTTTCGTGCAATTTTCAGATAAAGGTATCGAGTTATTCTTCCCTTTTCTGAATTTTTAGATTGCTGGTTGAATATTTGTGATTGAATTCGAAGTGGCTTTGTTAAACTTGAGCTGAAAATTATAGTGTTTTGAAGAAAATTGCCTACCCTTTTGATGTATTTGTCAGTCGTTTCCATTTTTGTAGTTGTTCTTGTTTATCTGAATTTGGTACATTACTAATCTGTTAAATCTAAATTGAGAGGGGTTTGGTTTAGCGTTTTCAATTTAGAAATGTTCCTGTATATGGAAATGGCTATAATTAGTAATGTGGAGTGTAAAAGGTTTGTAACAATTGACCATTGAATACTAACGTTAATAGAGTCATCCTCTTCACACTGCTGATACCCACGTATTATCTCTTGAGTAATTCCTGCATTAATGGCCATTTAAGACATATTTATGGTAGCTCTGCATGAACATCTGGGTGTGATGGCTATAGATATAAGATATGAAAACCTTGATGAGTAATTTGATGTTATCGGGAGAGCGGACTGTGTGGTGAGTTTAATTCTGAGTATCTTGCACAGCACTTGCTTTCGGATCTGGTATACGGGTTGGGGTAGGCTTGAGTCATGATAGATATGCATTCTGGATGTATTTCCAGTTTTGACGATGAGATTGCACATTTAATAAACCAGTGGAGAGGGATTCACAGATTAGTGTAACCTAGTCAAAAGTCAATTTGTTCTTGGTTGATGCCTTGATATTATAAAAGATGAACAAGGCACTGGCCTATATTGTGGCAACGCATTGAATTTGTCCTTTTGCTTATCATTGTCTATTATAGAGATGTCGTATGCTGGGTTTCAAAGCAGGTTGAACGTGCATGAAAGTTGTGTAGTATTTAGTAAAGTATTGAAGACGCTGCTTCATACCAAACAAATCTTAAATACAAGGAATGTTTTTAACCTTTCATGTGTTTTTCTGTGTCTTAGTTGTTTTTTTCCGCTATCATGGTACCCTGGCGTCTGTCCTGATACATTATAGGCCGTATAAAACACCATTTCCTGTGACGATATCCACTGACATCAGCTTCATATGTTACATTTTCTGTTGTGCGTTCTAAATACTTCATCATGTAATGACACGTTTCCTGGAGTTGCGAAAAACTGTTATGTATGACTTTTGTAACAGACAATGGGGGGGACTTATCCTTTGATTTGCCCTGTTTTAACGTTCCTTATCAGGAACGTAACCGGCCTTGCAATTTGCGGAGGACTGCAGCTCAGGTGATCCTTGCCCATGTTCCGTCCATGTTCCCTATGTATCAAGTGCTGCATGGGGATTGAACAACACATTCCTGTTCTTCCTTTTCTTCTCCTTCTTTTGGGTAGTGCTTTATGTTCTTTAGTCTTTCGGTCTTGGAAATTCTGCTATCGCATTTCCTAGTATGCCTTGGAGTTAGGAGTTAAATGTTATAGTTCGTTCATATAGGCGAAAATTTCAACATAAACGACTTCATTTTGCTCCAACTTTTTCTCTCTACGTTGTGTTGATGGATTAGAAATTTCTCTCTGTTGTTTTGATAGATTAGAAATTTCTTTGACGGATTTTCTGCTCATGCAGGTATTGAAGATGCAAGCATTTCATTTGCACCTGTTGAAGGTACATTAATTTAATCTGAGTTTTAGTGTTCTGGTGTATGTTTATGTTATTTCATCACCTAATTATTAGCTTGCCTGATAACTCTTGACCACTCTTAGAAATTATGATAACTTATTATCTTTAGGGGAATGATCAGTTCTTTAAGGTTATTCTGGTACAACCATCTCAAATAGTCCATCTCATGGCTCATGTTGGATATTATTAGCATGATAGATGGCATTCAAGATTCAATGACCAATGACTTTTTTCCTCCCTTTTTTATCGTCAATGCTGAGTTCTGTTTTTTCTTTTCCTTTTGGCGGAAATGATGAGTTCTTCATGTGAGCGTATTAACTTTTCTGCATGTTTCTTTTCCTATATTCTACTTCTATGTATCATGTTTTTCTAAGTCATTTTTTGTTTTCAAAGAGACATATGTCCTCTCTTTTTATGTTCCTTGGTGTGCAGCTAGTGGCAGGCCAACACTCAATCTTGAAAGACGTTTGGATCATGATGGTCATCCTCTTGCCATCACTGCAGCTGATGCAGTTACAGCAGGTGGAGTTCCACCGTGGAATTGGAGAGAAACCCAGGGAAATGGTAAGTTAAATTGAAGTTGGGATATTTGCTCAACAAGCGTCTTGTTATATGTGTTTTGCTCCAAATGTATACGGATGAGTAGCATGCAAAATGCCTTGTTACTGTGTTGTCAATAGTTCGTTTATTTCAATTTCTTTTCCATTTTTTGACAGGTGTGGAGGGTCAAGCATATGGTGGTAGAGTCATATTAGTCAACTGGGGTGACTATACTAGAAGGATTGGTATCGATGGCACCGCAGATGCCATTAAGGATGCAATTAAGTCTGCTTTTAGGTTGAGAACAAAACGCTCCTTCTGGTTGGAGGATGAAGACCAGATAGTCCGAAGTCTTGACAGGGACATGCCCTTGGGGAATTACACTCTACATCTTGATGAAGGTATAGGTCATGTATCGATCATATTGATCTTAGTAGTTCCTTAGGAGAGTGGTTGAGAAGTAGCAACTCCTATTCACAGAGATCTATCTAATAATGTTTTGCTACCCCTTTCGTATTGAAAACTTGATGCTAAAGTCCAAATTTCAGGGGTGGCCATCAAAGTGTGCCTCTATGACGAGTCGGACCACATACCAGTACACACAGAGGAGAAGCTTTTCTTCACAGAAGAAGATTATCGCGAGTTTCTGTCCCGCCGGGGGTGGTCGTATCTGAGGGAGTTTGACGGGTACAGAAATATTGAAAATATGGACAACCTTCGCCCGGGTGCAATATACCGCGGTGTGAGTTGAGGGAACCGCGTTCCCTTCTCAATGTAATTGTGGATGGTTATGGACCCTTTTTTGTTCAGCGTTGCAGGTTATGTATCATGGTAGAAGAAAGACGATATTATATTTGCACACTTGGCCTGCACTTTGCTGTTTGTAAATACAAGTCTACTCTTCTACACTTCATTGCCTCCTTTCCTATTCATTTCATTTATTTCTTATGGTTCTTCCGCCTCTCATTTTTTGACAAATTAAATGGCCAGCTAACCATTTCGCTTTCAGTTAATTCAATTTTTCGTTATCAGATGGCCCCTAAACATTTAATTATCAATTAATTCAATCTTTTGACTCCCAGGAGCAAACTTTTCGGTAGAACTGTCACACCAACATCAACATGGAGTAGTTCAAACCCGCTCGTATATATAATGTGTGCGCATCAAACTTTTTGGCGAGAAGGTTTCCCATCATGAGCAATTTTAAAAGGATATAAAGTATCCATCTTGACGGAAAGATGTAAATATTTATGTAAATTTACTTTTAATACGGAAAAAAAAGGGAAAAAAAAAAAGAAAAAAGCAATAGCTCCACGTTTTAAAGAGAAGGTGAGGCCAAATTTTAGTTTATCCAGCCCATTTTATTGGGCCCAATATATGCTGAAAGCACAAACGGTATTTCGTTTTCTTAACCACACACCAAGGATTGCTTTCATGCGATTTAAGTGATGTCTTTCTGCTGCATTTCGAAGAGCATGGGCACAACAGAATCTATTTTATATATGGAAACTAATACATCCGATGACTTGTCTGGTACGAAATGAATATCCAACTCCCATGTCGAAAACACCAAGACGAAAATACATCAGCGCACAAATTTTCATCCTCGCCCGAACCGTTCTAACAAATTGTGAATAAAAGATTCACAATACCAGAAGTCCACGAAACATGGATACTGGATACCATCCCCCTCCTCTTACTGCTCGTCCCATTCGTCGTTCTTGTACGACACTAGAGTGTCAACCTTGTGAATCTGCACGATCCAGCAAACTGATCAACTGTCAGCAACCAAACCATTTCCTTGTTTTACGGGGAAGAGATTTCTAAATGAATGAAAATTATAAAATGGGAATGCAATGTCTGGAACTTGCCTTGGTGTCAAAGGAATGCAGTTTTACTATTTCTGGATTTGTAATCAGTTTCGGATCACTCTCGATCCAAGTGAATGGGACTGCAACATCTTTATCCGTGTATGCCAACACATCAAACACACCTAAAAGCAAGTAATCGAACAAATGAACATGATAAATACCAATATGAATAAGTAAACCACCTTCGTTTGGATAAGTGAGTGTGTTTGCCTTACAGGGTTCATCAAGACATGGCAAGTAAGTGATGCTCGAAGCAATCTGCCTCATGATTGCCTGAATCTCCCTCATGATTTCCTTGTCACTCTTTTCCCTCGACACGCTTAAATCAAACAAAACAAAACAATGAAACATGAGTTAGAAATGAATAAAACAAACTGTAGTTTCATACAACAAGAGGAACTCAAAATAATCCAAAATTGAATTGAATTACCCCTGCTCGACAACCTCGCTATCAGTCTCAATGCTGAAGTTCCACCTCTCAAGAACCTCACTGGTGGTCTTGCTCATTATAACAAGAACAACTCTTTGCAACTTTCCAGATTCCAGCCATTCTTTACAAGATTCAAGATTAAAACATATCAGTCGCCAAGAACAACATATCTCAATCAAGCAATGTAGATTTAGTAGGTGCAGAATGCAGTATATACATCGTATCATATTTCGATATCGATCTACTAAGAAAAAATAACCCTAAATAGGTAGAAATTACCAGAAAGCTGAGCGGTTAGGTTGGCAATGAAGGATTTGAGGCCCTCGTCTTGAGTAAGCAACATTGGCAATCCATATTTCTTCACCTTCACAAAGCTTTCTTCAGGATATACTCCGCGATTGTACAGAATGCTAAAAAATACCCAAATTTTCAACCAATATTAACTTCAATATCCAATAAATACATATCCCAAATGAATCAAACACAAAAAGGAGAACATAAACAACAAAAACAAAGGCCAATATCCCATGCCCATTACCTGTTTGCTGAATATCCTGAAAGAGGGAACACAGAAAGAACACAAAACGCAGAGATCAGAAAAAGATATCTCAGAAACCGAACAAAACCCAACAAAGAGAAATGAGAATCAAATCCAATGGACGATAAATTACCGAAGAACTCGCTGACAATGGCGGCGGAGCCACGCAAAGTGATGATGTCTTTGGTCGCCGTTTTTGAAGCCATTACTACGATGTGCTTCCAAACCCAGTAAAGATTCTATCTAATTTTCTGTTTGGCAAGTAAGAAAATTATGAATTTCCCAGACGAAAAGCGGTTTCTGAGTTATGTGCGATGAGGAGGTGGAAGAAATAGATTTTTAGGGCTTCGAGAAAATCATCGAAAGTAAAGTAGTGCGAATGCAACGGCTAGATTCTTTAATTTTGGGTTTTCCGGGATTAACGGTAACATTTTTAAATTTGCGCCATTTTATGGTATGAATTATGAAATTATGAAAGGGGGTTTTGGACCAAAATATTTTATGAAAGTGGGGCCGGCTCGTAAGATGGCCTTGTTTGCGATTGCGAGGCGGTCCTGTACTTTGTTGGATTTACACAAAGGCCCAAGACTGTTAGTACCGCACCCGTTAAAACAATTTCCTTCTTCTTTGTTTTACACAATTTCTTCGTAATGCAACCATTTTCTCTTCAAATCTGAAAAATAAGTTTGATATAAAAAATTATAAGTATTTATGGACGTAATAAAGGAGAATAAGTTGGTAAACAAAATACATGAATAATTATTTAAAGTGTCTTAGGACTCGTTTGAAAGTGCTTTTAAAATATCTGCAAGCGATTTTAAAGAAATTTTTTTTGTTCCAAAAGTACTTGAAGTGCTTCTTGTAGAAAGTATTAGTTATGTGCTTATTAAAGGAAACACTTTAAGTGTTTTTTTTTTTAAGATTAAATTGCATTTTTACTAAAGATTGGTCTAAAAATATTTTTCATGAAAAGTGTTTTCAGCTATCTTAAAAACACTTTCAAGATGGTAATAACAACAATGAGTGTTGAATGAGAAGTCACTAACTTAAATATTTGTATCAACGGACTTCTCAAATCGACAACCATAGACATCGAATGAGAAGTCCCTTAATACTTAAAAATCACTCATTCATACACAACAAAGAAATGTTAAAAAAATACTTTGTTTAGTACACCAAGTAATTAAGATTCAAACGTCACTTCACCTTACACATGTTATGCGTTATATACAATGGAAAGGGAAGATTTTCTCCACGAAATAACCCTAGCTGCTCCTCCCATTCTCTCTTGTACGAAGCCAAACCCAAAACCCCTTCTCAATGCCGCCGACTTTTTTCTTGGGTTAGGGTTGGTGGCAACCTCTTCTTTCTAATGTTTTCCCACTTCTTCCTTTCCTTTTTATTAGCTATGCATGTATACTGCTCTTTCGACACCCATGGTTGTCGATTTTGAGAAGTCACATCTTTATTTCTCGACTTTCTTTGTAGTTTTCTCGGCGTTCTTTGCTGTTTTCCAGTGTTTTTGCCGTCTCTCAATGTTTTTCACCATGTTTTGCGTTTTGATAAACCCAACCCCATCTGGGAACTCCCGTCCTTCAACCCCAACATCCATCATCTTTCATTGCTCCTCCTTCTCACTTGCCATCCCTCCCACAACCTATGCTCAAAGCTAAGGCGACACACCTGTTTTGGTCCTCAGACCTAAGCTTCGTTCATGGCTCCGCACCCTACCGACATGCCAAAAATTCAGGGCCAAGTGTGATGCGGCTTTGCCTAAAACGAGGGTGTTTTAGATGCCCCTTAGCCCCACCCCTTCCCATTTATTTTGGTTTTTGGTTCGACATGCAAGGGCTTGTGTTGGTAGTTTAGATCTGTTAGCTCTTCTCCGCTGTGGCGGTGAAATTTGGTTAGGAGATTTTCCTTATTGCTGTGATACCGCCGACGAATTCAACGCGTAGATGATTTTCTTCGGGCAGCTAGCCTTGTGGTCGTTGGTAAGGTGATGGTGATCGGCCTTTACGGGTTGATGATTAGGGTTTTTCTTCAGCCTTTTTGCTCAATGGGCTTTGGCTATCCCATCCTTATTAGGCTAGTTTGGTGTAATTGTTTTGGGTTTTTCTCATTCAAGGAAGTTGTTTGTTTTTCGAGAAAATAATGGAAAGAGAGATCCATTTTATTTGTCAAAATTTAGGATAGTGCGATTCAAATAACTATTTTTACTTTTGACACACTTATTATTTTTTTACCATTGATTTTCTTTAATTCATTTAATCTGACGGTTGAAAATTAAGAGGAATATATAAGAAGTAAAAATGGATATGTGAAGACTACAATTAATCCATGCATGCAGGAATCAGGATGACACAAAATAAGGGCACACACCTATGTGGCCTGAGTCAGTGTAGACCGCATTCAAACCCTAGCAAAAACCTAACTATGATTCTCATATGATATAACATAAGCCTAATACTCACTGTTCTTGAGTCTTGACCCCTCCATTTTCGAATCTCGATATCTACATGCAATTGGAACTCGGATATAAATTCATGACCTAAACCATATTATTTCCAATAATGCACATTGCAGTACATGCCAGCTGCTGAACCTTCCAAGATTTTGTGCGCATATGTACACACAAACACATATAGATTGTTACGTTTTTGGTGAAATATATATAGAGTTAGAAAGCAGATTCATCAGCTGTTCTGGTGCTTTCCAGGAAATGGTACACAGGCGTGAAATCAAAACTCAAAAGGCTGGTATTTTATGGGTAAGTGCATGCGTGCGTGGTCCTCTCCTCTTCCTATCAGATTCCTTTTCAGCTAGAGCTACTATATATTTCAAAGAAAATTCGATATATCTTAATTAATTACGAACCTCCTTTTCTTCAGAAAAATGTCGACGTTATGTGTTCATTCATTTCCTTATTTCTGCAAAACACTGTAATCTATTAATGTCTGGTCTACATTTCAACCTAATTTCCTGGAATTTGTGCGATCATTTGACATGTAGTCTGTTTTGTTTTGGAAACTGATGTGCATGGGTTTGGTAATTTGGTCATGGCCTCTACTTCAATCACAAACGAGAAATGCAAAGGAGATTTTCTCAAAAGAGAAACTTTTCATAGACTTTCTTTCATCTCACAGTTTAACGTCAATTCTCGTACCAATATTATAAAACATTGTTAACAAAATATGAGGTGACAGAGAGTTTATAGAGAGTCCCGTCAGCATTTCTAATCACAATATTATATGTATCCTTCAACCATAAATATTAGGATTTACAAATCTCTTTTGCTGAAATAGGAAAATTAATACAATAAATCGGAAATCTCTTAAATGCCCTTTATACATATATACCACCTAAAACAAGGCGATCAATACAAGGATTTGAATACCAAAGCAAAGATGATACATTGAATTGAAAGTTGTCGTACATTTAGTTTTAAGTGAGATATAACATGAACATTTGAGATATTTTTCGTTTCAAAATTTGTATGGATCGTCTTATACGAACACAAGGAGCTGCCGTTTAACTCATTTTCCTAATTTCATGTTTTATATTCAAGATGCTAGTTCAGAATATTCGGGTCAGGTTTGAGATATGCACTCAAAATATATAAACGACGTATATCCTTTCTGTCGTTGTGGATAAAATATATAAACGACATATATCCTTTCTGGTGTCACGATTTAATTAATTCCAAATATAATAATCATGTACCACAAAAGGAGACCAATAGACGCATGTGGGTTGGATAGAAAAGATATACAAAAGCAACATGAGAGACAGCAGCAGAGAATAGAATAATGTTGTGGTGGTATCAACCCATTTCTTTTAGTTTTTATAAAATTTTCGATCATTAAATTAAATAAATTAAGAAAATATTAAAGAACTACAATTATCAAAAAATGCGTAAAAAATTTAAAAAGTTGTGTAGATTGAACGACTCTAAAATAAAAGAGACACAATTGATAACATTCATATTCATGTAAGTGAACATAGATCACACTGTATATAATATTATATAATGAGCCATTGCATAGTGCCATTACAAAAAATGAAAAGCTGCAGAAGGCTCACTATTTTATTGCAGAAAAACTCCAAAACACTGTGACAGGATAATATGAGATATTACTTTCAGGAATCCGGATTTTCTCTGAATCCTTTTTATAAGAATTTTAAGAATTTGTGTATTATATTTGTCTATCGTATATTGTGCGGTTAAAAATTATTTTAAATATTTTTATTTAAAATTAAACATAAAAAATATTTGACAAAAATTGATCGTACAATGTACAATAAATAAACACGATTTATGAATCTCTAGAATCCTCACCAAAAAAATTAGGGAAGGATCCTGTTGGTACTTTGAGCAATGAGGATTGGTATTTTTAAAGAAAAACTAATGAAAAAAGATTGAAAATTTTAAGTTTTGACGATAAGGACAAAATAAAGGGTAAAGTGAATAGTACCAAGTTTGACTTTTTAGTGTAAAAATATGATTTTTTGTTAAAGTAAACAGTACCGTGAATTTTTCGTTAAGATTTCCTATTTTTAAAAGTACGCATTATTGATTATCACACATCGAAAACATCATGAAGTTAAATCTTTTTAATATTGAATGACTATACCTCCAATTGCATGAACGCCTTTATACAAAATCTTGTACAAATAATTAAGTTAAAGATAATCATGCGATGTTGATTAGTAGTGATCATTGGACTGCTTCTGAATATTTTCAGAGTAGTATTATTCGCATACTTTTTTTAGGGATGTGATATCCACACACCTCATTTTATTTCTCACACATTTTTTAAATTTTCGATCGTTGGATCGGATGAATTGAAGAAGATCAACGGACAAAAATTATCAAAGGATGTGTGAGAAGTAAAACAAGGTGTGTGAATAGCACATCCCCTTTTTTTATCCTTCTATCCTTTGATTTTTATCATTTCATTCGATCTAACAACAAAAAAAAGGGAGCACCACCCTATTTTAACACCTAATTTGTTTAGAGCATCCCTAAAAGAGATGTCAAAAGATAAATTTTAAATGTTAATTTGATGGCTGACATGATAATGTCAGGTTTTCTCTTCCTCCAACCTATATTTTTTTTATTATAAATGACATTTGCATGACTCATTTTTAGAAAGTAAATTCATTGAAATAAAATTTTAAAATCTTTTTAAAGATGCATGCATGAAATTTAACAAAAATAAAAATCTTTTTAAAACATTGCCACATACATTCATGGAAAAGAATTCTCTCTGGATTCCTTCCACCTAATCCTCTCACCACATTCATGGAAAGGAATTCTCTCTGGATCTCTTCCACCTAATCCTCCTCATTAAACAATTCGGACCTTTGAAATTTGATCCAACGGCTACAAACATGGGCCCACTTTAAAAGTTATAATAACTTTAGCCGTTT